GGGCTCCCGCCGCTCTCGCCGCCGCCGCTGCAACGGCCGCCGCCGCCTCCACCTCCTTCTTCTGCCCCAGAGGCCGCTTCGCAGGGAAAGTTACATAACGCGCCAGCAAAGCCTTCTGGGAAACGTAGTCCCGCCGGGGCCGGCTCTTAAAGGGAACGGCGGGCAGAGGCGGGCTGGGGGGGTCGTCGCCTCTCCGCGCGCAGCCCTTATAACCGTCTCCGCGGGGCCGGAGTTCGGCGCGCCGCAAGATGCTGGGACACAAAGGTGGGAGGCGAGTTTGCAATACGAATGATCAGAGCTACTCCGGATTCAGAAATTTTGGGGGTGGGTGGACAGGCTTCCAGGCGTCCAACTTCTGCTCCGATTTGTTGTGCAGCTTTAGGCAAAATGTCTTGCCCTCTCTGAACCTCAGTTTCCCCGCCCAGCAAAGGTGGGCCAATGACGGATTAGGAAGGTAGCAGCTTCTGGGGCGGGGCGGAGAAGCCCTGATTGGCTTCAGAGCAGGGAAGGGAAGCTGGCAACTAGGTGGGGGTGGGGGTGGCCACTTGGCACTTCGTCCTCCCCCGGAATCCTAGATATATGCCTCTGGGGCCCGCCACAGCCAGCGAAGGGAGAGGACTAAGGGCTCCCGAGCCAGAGCCTTGCCTCAGTTTTCTCTGCTAAAGAAGGGGGCCGACTGACAGCCCTCTAACCCTGTCCCAGCTGCCCGCGCGCTCTGGTCTCTAAAGGGTTACACCGTCGGCTGCTCGGCGTCCTCCACCCGCTTCACTACAATTCCCAAAATGCACTGCGGACGCGGACAAAGTGACGTGCTTCCGCCGCCTGGGAGGTTGGGGTAGGCCTTTCAGATTCACGCTGCTTTACCCGCGGCCCCCCCCAACCTTTCTGGGGGTTCTTTACGTGCATTCGGAGCATGGCGTTTGGGGGACCCTTATCCTCTGTTGCTCCCCAATTTGAGGGAAGAGTAAGGGGTTAAGAAGTGATGGGCAAGAGGAGGGAGTTGCTGGGGAAGGGCGAACACCAGACTACCTTTCCCCAACCCTGAGCGCTCACTACCTGCAAGGCCCAATCAGGCTTTGAGGACCCTCCTGTCTTCTTTCCCAGGCATTGGGAACACGACGGGGCTGTCTTTGGGGAATGGCGGAGGCGGGTCTCCAGGTTCTAACCCACAACAGCCCCTTTCTCTAGGCCTGGGTCCATGTTAGGTGCTCAAAAATACTTGAATGATGTGCCAGTTGGCCCTGGTTTTCAGTCTAGTGAGGGGCTGCTTGTCCCTTCTCCCGTCCCACTGGAACCGCAGCAACTCTGATTCTGTTACCCAGACTTCACAATTTCAAAATGGTTTCACAATTTTGTCTACTACCTGTATTTGAACACTTTTCTCCCTTAAAAAAAGATTTATTAGGCTGAGGTGAGAGGATTGCTTGAGTCTAGAGGTAACAGGCTGCAGTGAACCATGATTGCGTCACTGCACTCCAGCCTGGGCAACACAGCAAGACCCTGTCTCAAAAAAATAAATAGAAATAAAAAGATCTATCTATTTTTACCTCATCCTAGGTAATACGTTCACAATCATGGGTTTCATCTACTAGTTACCTTAAAAAAAATCAGTGAAAACTATCGACTAATTCAAGAAGACATTCATATGTCACTTAAAATTGCCTTTCGGCTATTATTTACGAAACTCTAAAGGGAGTTAAGACTTCTGGCCAGATTCAGCCTTCAGGTGGACTGGACTGGCCTCTGACCAGCTGTGGCCTTGGGCAAGTCTCTAAACTTCTTGGAAAAAATGGAGACCCCCTCGAGTCTGTTTTTATTTGGGTACCTTCAGATTGAATGCAAACATGCATATAAATGCTTAGCTTGGTGCTTGGCACAGAAAAGTGCCATAAATGGAAGTTGTTTTTAAGCTGGACAGTTATTCAAATATTCAACCCCTCTTCCGTGGTGGGCAATGCTGGGGACATAGCAGTGACTGAGACAGCCTTAAGCCTTGCCCCTGAGAAGCCCCAGCCTGGTGATGGAGGCAGATACTAAATTTACTCAAATGATGAACTAAAATTTGTGATGACTGCTGTGGGGAGTGTGTGTCCGGAAAAGCTTTCCTGGCCAGGCATGGTGGCTCATGCCTATAATCCCAGCACTTTGGGAGGCCGAGGAGGGTGGATCACTTGAGGTCAAAAGTTCGAGACCAGACTGGCCAATGTGGTGAAACCTTGTCTCTACTAAAAATTAAAAAATTAGGCCGGGCTGTGGCAATGGCTCACTCCTATAATCCCGGCACTTTGGGAGGCCTATCACTTGAGGTCAGGGGTTTGAGACCAGCCTGGCCAACATGGTAAAATCCCATCTCTACTAAAAAATACAAAAATTAGCCAGGTGTGGTAGCGCACACCTGTAATCCCAGCTACTCAGGAGGCTGAGGCAGAAGAATCACTTGAACCCAGGAGGCAGAAGTTGCAGTGAGCCAAGACTGCGCCATTGCACTCCAGCCTGGGCAACAGAGGGAGACTCCATCTCAAAAAAAAAAAAAAAGTATAATCTAATTATAGGAAGAAAGACTCTGAGATCTTTATGCCCATTCTACAGGTAAGGACACTGGAAGTCAATGGTTACACAGTTGGCCAGGGCAGCACCAGCACTTGAGCCACGTCTGAGTCCAGAGTGGTGGTGATTACCTATTTTGTTACCTGGCCCTGCAGCAGAGTAAAAGAACCAGTTCCTGCCTTCATGACATTATGGGGCAAATGTGCCTTAAATAGATAAAGGCCTGTGTTCATTTAAAGACACTATGAAAAAGAACCCAGCTGTGTGTGGTGGCTCATGCTTGTAATCCCAGCACTTTGGGAGGCTGAGGTGGGAGGACTGCCAGAGCCCATGAGTTTGAGATCTGCCTGGACAACATAGGAAAACCCCATCTCTAGAAAAATAAAACAAGTAGCTGAGTATGGTGGCACATGCCTGTGGTCCCAGCTACTTGGGAGGCTGAGGTAGGAGGATTGCTTGAGCCTGGGAGGTCGAGGCTGCAGTGAGCTGTGATCGTGTCACTGCACTCCAGCCGGGGCAACAGAGCGAGATCCTGTCTCAAAACAAAACAAAACGAAAAACCAGAAATAAGAAAAGCAAAGAGAAAAAAAGAACAGGACACTGAGAGAGACTCTAAGAGGCAAACCCATGTTAGCCTTGGGAAGGAATCTAGGACTTTCTCCTGGAGGTGACATTTAGACTGGTATCTAAAGGATGAGTAGGAAGATTTCATGTAAACACAAGACTTGATGGCTTTAAGAATTAAAAAAAAAAAAAAAAAAGCTGGAAAACCACTAGCCTCCCAATTGCCTACCTGTGGAGGGGGCGGGGCAGGTGTAGGTGCTGGTCCCCCAGGCCTGTCTCAGACAGAGCCTCAAGTAATTGTATTAAAAATAAGTTTATTGATATCTTGTCACCACTGGGAGAAAGGAGGGGGTTGAGCTCCGGAAGTCAGAGACAGCAATGGTAGGCAGAGAACCCAACTTATACCTCTCCCATCAGAACTCAATGCCTCCTCTCCCTGGGGTATACACGGCTATATCCTCTTTGTCATCCATATTTTGATTTGTCTCACAACTCCCACCCGCTCCAAAGTCTGGGTTGGGCAGGTGGGGAGTCCCCCACGGGTCAATTCTCTTCAAGTCAAGAACAGGAACTGTTAGGGAAGGGGAGATGTGCAGACCCGAGAGGTTCCCTCCCCACCCGACATAGGGCAATAATAAATAACATGAAATTGATGGCTTAGAAGTCAGGGTTAAGGGAGGCAGCCAGGCAGACAGCACTGTACCAGAGAAAGGGGTTGGGGGGGCCCATTACTGTGGCCCCCCCAGAGAATCAGGCACTAACTAGCACAGGGAGTGGGTGCTCACATCCCTGGAGCAGGGAGCTAGGGTGCAGCTGGGATGGGCAGAGAGCATCGCCCCCCTCGACTGCGCCAAGCTGGGGAGAGGGGGTGCAGGCAGGAGCATAGATAGTAGATTTCACGGAGATTTCCATCGGCCGCGCCTTTTGCGTGTAGGGAAACCTTTTCTCCGCTTGTGTGGCGGGGAGTCGTGTGGAGGGAGTGGGGCTGGGGGTGGCCGGGGCGCCCCCTCCTCGCTCCTTGGGGCAATGATCACTCCCCTGGCTGCCACCACTGCCCCGTCCACCACAGCAGCCACCACAGACACGGGCTCTGGGGTGATCTCCACCTTGGGGGCTGGTGGGGGCAGGACGGG